TATCTCCCCTTTATCTCCCCCGTATCTCCCCCGTGTCTCCCCTGTGTCTCCCCCTGTATCTCCCCTGTGTCTCCCCCTGTGTCTCCCCCGTGTCTCCCCTGTGTCTCCCCCTGTGTCTCCCCTGTATCTCCCCCTGTATCTCCCCTGTGTCTCCCCCTTTATCTCCCCTGTGTCTCCCCTGTGTCTCCCCTGTATCTCCCCCTGTATCTCCCCCTTTATCTCCCCCTTATCTCCCCCTTATCTCCCCTGCATCTCCCCCGTGTCTCTCCTGTATCTCCCCTGTATCTCCCCCTGTATCTCCCCCTTTATCTCCCCCGTATCTCCCCCGTGTCTCGCCCTGTATCTCCCCCGTATCTCCCCTGTATCTCCCCTTTATCTCCCCCGTGTCTGGCCCCGTATCTCCCCCTTTATCTCCCCTTTATCTCCCCCGTATCTCCCCTGTGTCTCCCCCTGTATCTCCCCTGTATCTCCCCTTTATCTCCCCTGTATCTCCCTTTATCTCCCCTTTATCTCCCCTGTATCTCCCCTGTATCTCCCCTGTATCTCCGTTCCCTGTATCTCCCCTTTATCTCCCCTGTATCTCCCCTTTATCTCCCCTGTATCTCCCCTTTATCTCCCCTGTATCTCCCCTTTATCTCCCCTGTATCTCCCCTTTATCTCCCCTGTATCTCCCCTGTATCTCCCCTGTATCTCCCCTGTATCTCCCCCTGTATCTCCCCTGTATCTCCCCCTGTATCTCCCCCCTGTATCTCCCCTGTATCTCCCCTGTATCTCCCCTTTATCCCCTGTATCCCCTGTATCTCCCCTGTATCTCCCCTGTATCTCCCCTGTATCTCCCCTGTATCTCCCCTGTATCTCCCCTGTATCTCCCCTGTACTCCCTTATCTCCCCTGTATCTCCCCTGTATCTCCCCTGTATCTCCCCTGTATCTCCCCTGTATCTCCCCTGTATCTCCCCTGTATCTCCCCCTGTATCTCCCCTGTATCTCCCCTGTATCTCCCCTGTATCTCCCCTGTATCTCCCCTGTATCTCCCCTGTATCTCCCCTGTATCTCCCCTGTATCTCCCCTGTATCTCCCCTGTATCTCCCCTGTATCTCCCCTGTATCTCCCCTGTATCTCCCCTGTATCTCCCCTGTATCTCCCCTTTATCTCCCCTTATCTCCCCTGTATCTCCCCTGTATCTCCCCTTATCTCCCCTTTATCTCCCCTGTATCTCCCCTGTATCTCCCCTGTATCTCCCCTGTATCTCCCCTGTATCTCCCCTGTATCTCCCTCCCCTGTATCTCCCCTGTATCTCCCCCTGTATCTCCCCTGTATCTCCCCTGTATCTCCCCTGTATCTCCCCTGTATCTCCCCTTTATCTCCCCTTTATCTCCCCCTGTATCTCCCCTTTATCTCCCCTTTATCTCCCCTGTATCTCCCCTGTATCTCCCCTTTATCTCCCCTTTATCTCCCCTGTATCTCCCCTTTATCTCCCCTGTATCTCCCCTGTATCTCCCCTGTATCTCCCCTGTATCTCCCCTGTATCTCCCCTGTATCTCCCCTGTATCTCCCCTGTATCTCCCCTTTATCCCCCTGTATCTCCCCTGTATCTCCCCTTTATCTCCCCTTTATCTCCCCTGTATCTCCCCTGTATCTCCCCTTTATCTCCCCTTTATCTCCCCTGTATCTCCCCTGTATCTCCCCTTTATCTCCCCTTTATCTCCCCTGTATCTCCCCTTTATCTCCCCTTTATCTCCCCTTTATCTCCCCTGTATCTCCCCTGTATCTCCCCTTTATCTCCCCTTTATCTCCCCTGTATCTCCCCTGTATCTCCCCTTTATCTCCCCTTTTATCTCCCCTGTATCTCCCCTTTATCTCCCCTTTATCTCCCCTGTATCTCCCCTGTATCTCCCCTTTATCTCCCCTTTATCTCCCCTGTATCTCCCCTGTATCTCCCCTGTATCTCCCCTTTATCTCCCCTGTATCTCCCCTGTATCTCCCCTTATCTCCCCTGTATCTCCCCTGTATCTCCCCTTTATCTCCCCTGTATCTCCCCTGTATCTCCCCTGTATCTCCCCTGTATCTCCCCTGTATCTCCCCTGTATCTCCCCTTTATCTCCCCTGTATCTCCCCTGTATCTCCCCTTTATCTCCCCTGTATCTCCCCTGTATCTCCCCTGTATCTCCCCTGTATCTCCCCTTTATCTCCCCTGTATCTCCCCTTATCTCCCCTGTATCTCCCCTGTATCTCCCCTTTATCTCCCCTGTATCTCCCCTGTATCTCCCCTATCTCCTGTTATCTCCCCTGTATCTCCCCCTGTATCTCCCCTGTATCTCCCCTGTATCTCCCCTGTATCTCCCCTGTATCTCCCCTTTATCTCCCCTGTATCTCCCCTGTATCTCCCCTTTATCTCCCCTGTATTCCTCCCCCTGTATCTCCCCTGTATCTCCCCTGTATCTCCCCTGTATCTCCCCTTATCTCCCCTGTATCTCCCCTTATCTCCCCTTATCTCCCCTGTATCTCCCCTGTATCTCCCCTGTATCTCCCCTGTATCTCCCCTTATCTCCCCTGTATCTCCCCTTATCTCCCCTGTATCTCCCCTTTATCTCCCCTGTATCTCCCCTGTATCTCCCCTGTATCTCCCCTGTATCTCCCCTGTATTCCCTTCCCCTTTATCTCCCCTGTATCTCCCCTGTATCTCCCTGTATCTCCCCTGTATCTCCCCTTTATCTTCCCCTTTATCTCCCCTGTATCTCCCCTTTATCTCCCCCCTTATCTCCCCTGTATCTCCCCTTTATCTCCCCTGTATCTCCCCTGTATCTCCCCTGTATCTCCCCTTTATCTCCCCTTTATCTCCCCTGTATCTCCCCTGTATCTCCCCTGTATCTCCCCTGTATCTCCCCTGTATCTCCCCTGTATCTCCCCTGTATCTCCCCTTTATCTCCCCTGTATCTCCCCTGTATCTCCCCTGTATCTCCCCTGTATCTCCCCTGTATCTCCCCTGTATCTCCCCTGTATCTCCCCTGTATCTCCCCTGTATCTCCCCTGTATCTCCCCTGTATCTCCCCTGTATCTCCCCTGTATCTCCCCTGTATCTCCCCTGTATCTCCCCTGTGTCTCCCCTGTATCTCCCCTGTATCTCCCCTGTATCTCCCCTGTATCTCCCCTGTATCTCCCCTGTATCTCCCCTGTATCTCCCCTGTATCTCCCCCTGTATCTCCCCTGTATCTCCCCTGTTCTCCCCTGTACTCCCTGTATCTCCCCTGTATCTCCCCTGTATCTCCCCTTATCTCCCCTGTATCTCCCCTGTATCTCCCCTGTATCTCCCCTGTATCTCCCCTGTATCTCCCCTGTATCTCCCCTGTATCTCCCCTGTATCTCCCCTGTATCTCCCCTGTATCTCCCCTGTATCTCCCCTGTATCTCCCCTGTATCTCCCCTGTATCTCCCCTGTATCTCCCCTGTATCTCCCCTGTATCTCCCCTGTATCTCCCCTGTATCTCCCCTGTATCTCCCCTGTATCTCCCCTGTATCTCCCCTGTATCTCCCTGTATCTCCCCTGTATCTCCCCTGTATCTCCCCTGTATCTCCCCTGTATCTCCCCTGTATCTCCCCTGTATCTCCCCTGTATCTCCCCTGTATCTCCCCTGTATCTCCCCTGTATCTCCCCTGTATCTCCCCCTGTATCTCCCCTGTATCTCCCCTTTATCTCCCCTGTATCTCCCCTGTATCTCCCCTGTATCTCCCCTGTATCTCCCCTGTATCTCCCCTGTATCTCTCCCCTGTATCTCCCCTGTATCTCCCCTGTATCTCCCCTGTATCTCCCCTGTATCTCCCCTGTATCTCCCCTGTATCTCCCCTGTATCTCCCCTGTATCTCCCCTGTATCTCCCCTGTATCTCCCCTGTATCTCCCCTGTATCTCCCCTGTATCTCCCCTGTATCTCCCCTGTATCTCCCCTGTATCTCCCCTTATCTCCCCTTATCTCCCCTGTATCTCCCCTGTATCTCCCCTGTATCTCCCTGTATCCCCTGTATCTCCCCTGTATCTCCCCTGTATCTCCCCTGTATCTCCCCTGTATCTCCCCTGTATCTCCCCTGTATCTCCCCTGTATCTCCCCTGTATCTCCCCTGTATCTCCCCTGTATCTCCCCTGTATCTCCCCTGTATCTCCCCTGTATCTCCCGTATCCCCTTTATCTCCCCTGTGTCTCCCCTGTATCTCCCCTGTATCTCCCCTGTATCTCCCCTGTATCTCCCCTGTATCTCCCCTGTATCTCCCCTGTATCTCCCCTGTATCTCCCCTGTCTCCCCTGTATCTCCCCTGTATCTCCCCTGTATCTCCCCTTTATCTCCCCTGTGTATCTCCCCTGTATCTCCCCGTATCTCCCCTGTATCTCCCCTGTTCTCCCCTGTATCTCCCCTGTATCTCCCCTGTATCTCCCCTGTATCTCCCCTGTATCTCCCCTGTATCTCCCCTGTATCTCCCCTGTATCTCCCCTGTGTCTCCCCTGTATCTCCCCTGTATCTCCCTTATCTCCCCTGTTCTCCCCTGTATCTCCCCTGTATCTCCCCTGTATCTCCCCTGTATCTCCCCTGTATCTCCCCTTTATCTCCCCTGTGTCTCCCCTGTATCTCCCTGTATCTCCCCTGTCCCCTGTGTCTCCCCTGTATCTCCCCTGTATCTCCCCTGTATCTCCCCTGTATCTCCCCTGTATCTCCCCCTCCCCTGTGTCTCCCCTGTATCTCCCCTGTATCTCCCCTGTATCTCCCCCTGTATCTCCCCTTTATCTCCCCTGTATCTCCCCTGTATCTCCCCTCTCCCCTGTATCTCCCCTGTATCTCCCCCCTGTATCTCCCCTTTATCTCCCCTGTATCTCCCCTGTATCTCCCCTTTATCTCCCCTGTATCTCTCCCCTCCCCCTTATCTCTCCCCTGTGTCTCCCCTGTATCTCCCCTGTATCTCCCCTTTATCTCCCCTGTGTCTCCCCTGTATCTCCCCTGTATCTTGGATTGGTAAGATGCAGGCGGGGTAGTTTGTGTGAGGTGGGTTTTTGGCGGGGTGGTCTGGGCTGTGGGGCGCGGCTGGGGCGGTGGTGTTGGGGGGGTTGCGGGGTGCGGGGGGTGTATGGGGGGGGGAGGGGGGGGAATAGGGCTGGGGGGGCGCGGCGCTGGGGGGGGTGGGGGTGGTATCGTGAGCGGCTCGGGGGGGGCGCGGTGGGTGGGCGTGGGGGAGGTCTTGGGGGGGGTGGGGGGGGGGACAGGGTGGGGGGGAGTGGGGGGGTAAGGCGTGGGGGGGAGGGGGGGGGGGGGGGGGGGGGGTGGGGGGGGGGGGTGGGGGGGGGGGGGGGGGGGGGGGGTGTGGGGGGGTGGGGGATATGGGGGGGGTGGTCGGGGGGGGGGGAGGGGTGGGGGGGGGGGGGGGGGGGGGGGGGGGGGGGGGGGGGGGGGGGGGGGGGGCCACGGGAGAGCAAAGAACAAACCCAAGCAACACACGACACGAATACTACAACACCCTCCCCCCAGCTCTCCCCATCATCTCCTCCCCGGGTGTCTCTCGCCTCCCTCCTGGAGCTCCCACGCAGCTCCCCCTGTATCCTCCCCTCCTATCTTCCCCCCTCCCCCTGTATCTTCCCCGGGTACTGGTCTCCCCTGTTTCTCCTGTATCTTCTCTATCTCCCCTCTCCGCCCCTCTCCCCTCCATCCCCTCCCTCTCTCTTCCCCCTCTCTCCCGTCCCTCATCTTCCTCTCTACTCCCTATCTCCCCTTACTCTCTACTCTCTCCCCCTCCCTCTCCCATCTCTCTCCCTCCCCTCTCCCGCCCTCAACCTCTCTCTCTCCCTCATCTCCCTCTCTGCTCCTCTCTCCCCTCTCTCCCTCATCTCCCCCCTCCCCCCTCTCCCAATCTCCTCTCATCCCCTCTCACCTCCTCTTCTCCCCTCCCCCCAACTCCTCTCCTCTCTCTCCCTCCCCCTCTCTCCCCCCCTCTCTCCTCTTATCAGTCCCCTCTCCTTCTTTATCTCCCCCCCTCTCCCCCTCTCTCTCCCCCTGTGTCTCCTCCTCTCCGACTCCACTACCTCTCTTCCTCCCCTGTATCCCATCTCCCTATCGCTCTTCATTCCCCTGTGTCTGCTCCTGGGTCTCTCGCCCCTCTTCTCCTGTGGCTTCAGCCTGTGTCTGTCTTCCCCTGTATCTCCCCCCGACTCTCCTTCTGCAGTCTTCTCTCCCCTCGTTCTCTTTCTTCCCCACCTTGGGGCCTCTCTCTCCTCCCCTGGGTCTCTTCTTCCCTTCCCTCGTGCCTCTCTTCCTCTCCCTCCCCTCTCTCGGGTCTCCCCCTGGAATCATCTACCTTCCTCTTCTCGCTATCCCTACCTCTAATCTCCATGACCTCTTTCCTTTCTAATCTTCGCTTCTGTATCGCCTCTCTTCCCTGTATCTCATATCCTCTCTTCTCAGCATTCTCCTCTCTCTCCCTCCCCCTCCTCCTTTTCTCCGCTGTCTAGTCTACTCTCCCCTCTCTCTTTCTCCCACAGTCTCCTCACCTCCTCTCTCCCGTCCCTCCTCCCTCCTCTCTGTCTCTCTCTTCTCCTCTGCCTCGTTTTTCTGTGTCTCTCTCTTCTCCTTTCCCCTCCTCTCTCGTCTCTTCTCCTCCTCCTTGCTCTCTCCCCTCCCTGTGTCTTCTCTCTCCCCTGGGGTTCCCTCCCCTCTCCCTATCTGTGTCCTCCCCTGGATCTCCCCCCCGTCCGAGTATCTCCGATCTTGGATCTTCCCCTCTGGTCTCCCTGTGTTCTCCCTCTCCACCCTCCCCCTTCCCCCTGAATCTCACCCCTGAATACTCCCCCCGTACATCAGATCTCAGTAAATCTCCCCCCCTGTATCGCTCCTATCTAGCTCCCCGTTATCTCCAGCTCATCATATCCCCAGCTCCCCCCCGTATCTCTCCGTATCTGCTCCCATTCCCAGCTCCTCTCTGTGTCCACCCTGTTATCTCCCTCTCCAACTGTGTCTCCCCTGTACTCTATCGCACCTCTCCCCCTGTGTCCGCTCCTCCCCTTAACTCAAATCTTCCTCATCTCCCTCTATCTCTCCTGTGTCCTCTCTCGTGGCCTCCCTCCCCTTATCTCCCGTATCTCCTCCCTCCGTAACTCTCTTCTCTATCTCCTATCTATCTCTTACCCTATCTCTCATCCATCCATCTTATCTTCTTCTCCCCCTGTTCCCCCCTATCTCGCCCCCTGGGCGGGATCAAGGAGCCAGGGCGCCACGGAACCACTGCGGCGAGACGGTGAAGGAACGGTGTAGGTACCAGACCTCAGCCCGGCTTCAAGATGGAGGATCAGGAGTTGTTTCCATGACGACAAGTGGAAATGTGTGTGTGTTCTGTGGTTATGGGAGTTTAAAAATACACTGAGACTTTTATCAGCTGCTGAAAAGTTCTGTCTGCGTCTGTGTGCACTTGTTTTCAACTCCTGGTGGGTTCCATAACCTGAGATTCCACTCACGTCATGGGGACTGGTTTTACGTGGTGGGGCCCGAACACCGGACCCCACTGGTCCAAGCTTAATAATCAATGGGTAATGCTTTTCTAACGGTCCTTATGCAGTCTCTGTAAAAATATGGAAAGGACCCCTGGAGGTTTACTTTCCTGAAAAAAGTGTGTTATGTGTCGGAACCCTGGTGGTGGGTTGCGGGATATCAAGGAGGGGCACACTGGGGCAATTTCAGTCCAGCAGGCTGGAGCCAATCATGGAGCAGCACAACAGAGGAAATCAGGTGTCAGGCTAGAAAAAGGTGCAAGTGTGTGGTTCATTAGGCTGCAAGAAATCATGGAGGAGCACACTGAAGCGCACGCTTACAAACCACTGGTAAGTGCTGACTACAAGTCATGACTTCAAATTGTTATATAGAATGATTACAAATTATTTGTTGTTTGTGCAGCTTAGTCAAGAGTCCCTAATTGATGAAGTCGACTCAGATTCTGACGATTTAACTGTCAAGAAGAAACCTGTAAAAAAGTATGGAAAAAGAAAAATCAAAAACACTTTTCTTCAAGACTCGGAAAGTGACGAACCAAAGGCAAATAAGATTGTTATCATGCAGCTGCAAAAGAAGAAAAATGGGGGGCGAGTTTACAGCAAGAGACACTTCTGCCTCTACTGTTCAATGTCCTGCCACAAAATGTCCCGTCATTTGACTAGAAAACATGGAAATGAAAGTGACGTAGCCAGAGCATTGGCTCTACCTGTGAAATCTAAAGCACGTAAACTTCAGTTTGATTTGATCAGGAATAGTGGAAACCGTGAGCACAATTTTGAGGTTTTAAAGGCCGGCATTGGAACTTTAGTCCCAGCTAAACAGCCAAATTGCCCAGTTAAATCCAGTGAGTTTTTGCACTGTATAGACTGTGGGGCATTGCTTAAGCGAAAGTCGCTGTGGAGGCATGTGGCCAGGTGCCGGCTTTCACAGAAAGATGCCCAGGCTAAACCAGGCTAAACCAGGTAGAAGTAGGGTCCAGTCCCTCTGCTCCCTAGCCCAGCCTGTACCGGAGGGCATCAGCAAAAAGCTGTGGTCTTTAATTTCGGCAATGCATCAGGATGAGGTCACGGGTGTTGTCAAAGCAGAAAAGGGGATTCTGAGACTCGGAGAGCACCTGTACTTAAAACACGGGCATGATAAGACTAAGCATGATTACATTAGGCAGAAAATGAGAGAAGTCGGTAGGTTAATTAACGAAGCAAAAACCGCAGGGAAACTGAAAACAATTAAGGATTTCTTTATTCCTTCCAACTTTAACCATGTGATTGATGCAGTCAGGTCTGTGGCTGGATATGATGAGGAAACAAATCAATACAAGACTCCATCCTTGGCCCTCAAACTCGGCCATAGCCTCAGAAAGCTAGCAGATATTCTTGAATGTGACTCAAAAATGGAGCATTGTGTTGATGAACTATTTATTAAAAACCTCCAACGAAGCCGGCTGCTTTTTGAGAAGAGGTGGGACGTCTGTGTTTCTTCTGCTGCCCTACAGACCCTCCGGCAAGCCAAGTGGAACACTCCGGACCTGCTCCCTCTGACTGAGGACGTTAGAGCCATGCATGCACATATTGAGGTATGTCGACCTGAATATGTGCAAACCCTAATAAGTGAGCCAACGTCTAAGCATTGGTCTAAACTGGCAGTTTTGACTCTTTGTGAGGTCATCATTTTCAATCGAAGAAGGGAAGGTGAGGTTTCAAAGATGCCACTGACAGCCTTTACCTTAAGAAGTAAGACTGGGATCCATTCTGACATTGCTCTGGGACTGTCCCAACTTGAGAAAAAGCTGTGTCAGCATTTTCAACGCATTGAAATTAAAGGGAAAAGAAGTCGGAAAGTGCCGGTTCTTTTGACTCCTGAAATGATTGCTTCGATGGAGGTGCTGGTGGAGAACAGAAGGGCCTGTTCCATCTCTGACCATAACCCATACTTCTTTTCCCGCCCGGGCGCAGACACCCACATCAGGGGATCAGACTCCCTACGCCAGGTAGCCAAAGAATGTGGTGCGGTGCATCCAGAGATGCTATCCTCAACCAAACTTAGAAAGCACATAGCTACTATGTCTACAGTTCTCAATATGAAAGAGAATGAAATGGACATACTTGCCAACTTCCTCGGCCATGACATTCGCATCCACAGGCAATATTACAGACTACCAGAGGGGACACTGGAGCTGGCCAAAATCAGCAAAGTGTTGATGGCCATGGAGCAGGGAAGAGTGACGGAATTCGAAGGAAAGAGCCTCGACCAGATACAAATTGAGCCTGAAGGTAATTCTTGATATTATTAAAATATGTATGATTTTTTTCCCCTAAAGGCCACTTGTATTTTTATTTTCTGTGCGACAGGGAGAGCAGTAGAGATCCTCTCACAAACGGACGGGCTAAAAGAAACTTCAAGCGGAGAACCTTCAACCATTCATCCAGATGCACCCCATGGTAGTGGCAGTGCCCCTTCTGGTAAGTGTACCAGGTGGGGGATTACAGCCAGGCTGCTTGGTCCTCACCCTGGGAGTGTATATTGCTAATATATTTTTATTTCTCTCCCTAGAACGTGTAAGAAAGCCATGGTCTGCATCTGAGGTGAAGGCTGTGGAGAAGACCATGACACCTTTCATACAGACTGGAAAGGTCCCTGGGAAGTCTCACTGCCTGGCCTGCATTAATGCCTCACCAGATGACCTTAGACATCGGACATGGAGTGGCATTAAATTCTATGTCAAAAATAGAATCACTGCAATTCGAAAACAAAATCTAAAATAAAATTCCTTTAAAATAGTTGTTTGGTTTCTATTGACTGTTTTGTATTACTTAAAGTCTTGGTAAAAAAAGATTATGTCTATGGGTCCCATTCTGAACGGCCCTGTCAAAGGGACCCACCAGGTAACAAAAACGTGTATGTGTGTGTGTGCGTGTGTGCGTGTGTGTGTGTGTGTGTGCGTGTGTGTGTGTGTCTGTATCTCTGTCTGCGTCTGTGTGTGTGTGCGTGTGTGTCTGTATCTCTGTCTGTGTCTGTGTGTGTGTGTGTGTGTGTGTGTGTGTCTGTATCTCTGTCTGCGTCTGTGTGTGTGTGTGTGTGTGTGTGTGTGTCTGTATCTCTGTCTGCGTCTGTGTGTGTGTGTGTGTGTGTGTGTCTGTATCTCTGTCTGCGTGTGTGTGTGTGTGCGTGTGTGTGTGTGTCTGTATCTCTGTCTGCGTGTGTGTGTGTGCGTGTGTGTGTGCGCGTGCGTGTGTATCTTTGTCTGCGTCTGTGTGTGTGTGTGTGCGTGTGTGTCTGTATCTCTGTCTGCGTGTGTGTGTGTGTGTGTGTGTGTGTGTGTGTGTCTGTATCTCTGTCTGCGTCTGTGTGTGTGCGTGTGTGCGTGTCTGTATCTCTGTCTGCGTCTGTGTGTGTGTGTGTGTGTGTGTGTGTGTGTCTGTATCTCTGTCTGCGTGTGTGTGTGTGTGTGTGTGTGTGTGTGCGTGTCTGTATCTCTGTCTGCGTCTGTGTGTGTGTGTGTGTGCGTGTGTGTGTCTGTATCTCTGTCTGCGTCTGTGTGTGTGTGTGTGTGCGTGTGTGTGTCTGTATCTCTGTCTGTGTGTGTGTGTGTGTGTGTGTGTGTGCGTGTCTGTATCTCTGTCTGCGTCTGTGTGTGTGTGTGTGTGCGTGTCTGTATCTCTGTCTGAGTCTGTGTGTGTGTGTGTGTGTATCTCTGTCTGTCTGTGTCTGTGTGTGTGTGTGTGTGTGTGTGCGTGTCTGTATCTCTGTCTGCGTCTGTGTGTGTGTGCGCGTGTGTATGTGTGTGTTTTTGTGTCTGTATGTCTATACATGTGTCTGTGTGTGTGATTTTGAGTCTGTGTATGCGCGTGTTTCTGTGTCTGCGAATGTGTGTGTATCTATGTGTGTGTGTGTGTGTGTGTCTGTATCTTTGTGTGTGTGCGTGATAATGTCTGTGTGTGTGTGTGTCTGTATCTTTGTGTGTGTGTGTGTTTCTCATAGAACATTGTATACTACTCTATGTACTGCACAGAAGCATGTGTGCCCCAGCGGCAAAACTAGATTGGTCCAAGAAATATATTTAATTTGTTTTATGAAAATAAATTAATATACATTTAATTAATCATATTTTAAAAACATTTTCAATTTCATCATAATTCACCTCCAGTGCATGAAATCTGAATACATCCATCGTTTTGTCTGTTAAAATGGAACATGACATAAGAGGCCTAAGCAGGGCAGGGCCTGGTTAGTGCGGTGATGGGAGACCTCTGTGAACAGCAGCCACAGTGGGGGGCTGTAAAGTGCCAAACTGTGGTTGTGTCCTTAGGCAAGACACTTCCCCCACATTAGAATGAGTCTGGTGTGTGTGTGAGTGGTTGGTGGTGGTGGGAGGGGCCGATGGCACAGACTGGTTGCCTCGCTTCTGTCAGTGTGCCCCAGGGCAGCTGTGGCTACAGTAGTTTATCACCACAGTGTTTGGAGAGAGAGAAGAATGAAGAGACTTTGAGCCTCTGAAGAGAGTTGTATTAAAGGAATAGGCCCAGTGTTTACATCCTGACACATGTTCTTACCTTAGACTAGTTGATATGTACCTGTCTGGTCTGTGTCCGTGTGCTCTGTCATGCAAACAGAGCACAAACACAGCCTCTTCCACAGACTGTATAGTTCCAAATTAGCTCCCGTTAGAAGCTCCAAAACTCTTCCACGTGTTCCCTTTAAATATAGTTACGTGACGTGTTACTCTACAAAGTATAGTAACACAGAAATGTAACATGTCCATTTTCTCAGCGGATAAAAAGGGGAACTATATTGTGAGGCGTAATAATACGAGGAGCACTACGTCCGTGCACCAACTCCTACAGACTTCTCTCCTGGTCACTTCCGTCAATAGAAGCAGCGTGAGCGGGAGAGAAGTCTTTAGGAGTTAGTGCACGCACGTAGTGCTCCTCGTGTTATTACGTGAGGAGCACTCGCACTTAAATTTCTGTGTAACTATACTTTGTAGTGTAACACGTCATATAACTGTATTTAAAGGGAACACGTGGAAGAGTTTGGGAGCTTCTAACGGGAGCTGATTTGTTACTATACAGTCTGTGGAAGAGGCTGTGTTTGTGCTGCATTTGCATGACAGAGCACACGGACACAGGTTCATAGGACAGGTTCATATCAGTCTGAGGTAAGAACATGTGTCAGTCTGTAAACACGGCCTGTTCCTTTAAACTGATGCATTATAATAATTCTTTCCTCCACGTTTCACCGTCTTCTCAGAGTTGGTCCGACTTAACCGTCTCCGTTTGTCCTCGTTCCCTCGAAGTGCGATGGTCTCAGAACCTGCAGCTCTGAGGTTTTCCAAATGTCACGTCTCGATCCTGCGACCGGCCTTTCTGAGATCTGACCTTACAAAGCTATTTGCTGTGACCTATTTATAGCCCAGTATTGGATCAGGACGTTTTCCTGAGTCTTCACTTCATCTAAAAGCTCGTTCTGCGTCTCTGTGGTCTCGGTGTGAAGAGGTGCTGTGGTCTCTGTGGTCTCGGTGTGAAGAGGTGCTGTGGTCTCTCATGTCTCTGTGATCTCGGTGTGAAGAGATGCTGTGGCCTCTCACGTCTCTGTGATCTTGGCGTGAAGAGGTGCTGTGGCCTCTCATGTCTCTGTGGTCTCGGTGTGAAGAGGTTCTGTGGTCTCTCATGTCTCTGTGATCTTGGCGTGAAGAGGTGCTGTGGCCTCTCATGTCTCTGTGGTCTCGGTGTGAAGAGGTGCTGTGGTCTCCCATGTCTCTGTGGTCTCGGTGTGAAGAGGTGCTGTGGTCTCCCATGTCTCTGTGATCTCGGTGTGAAGAGGTGCTGTGGTCTCTCATGTCTCGATGATCTCGGTGTGAAGAGGTGCTGTGGTCTCTCATGTCTCTGTGGTCTCGATGTGAAGAGGTGCTGTGGTCTCTCATGTCTCTGTGGTCTCGATGTGAAGAGGTGCTGTGGTCTCTCATGTCTCTGTGGTCTCGATGTGAAGAGGTGCTGTGGTCTCTCATGTCTCTGTGGTCTCGGTGTGAAGATGTGCTGTGGTCTCTCCTGTCTCTGTGGTCTCGGTGTGAAGAGGTGCTGTGGCCTCTGTCTCTGTGATCTCGGTGTGAAGAGGTGCTGTGGCCTCTGTCTCTGTGATCTCGGTGTGAAGAGGTGCTGTGGTCTCTCATGTCTCGATGATCTCGGTGTGAAGAGGTGCTGTGGTCTCTCATGTCTCGATGATCTCGGTGTGAAGAGGTGCTGTGGTCTCTCATGTCTCTGTGGTCTCGATGTGAAGAGGTGCTGTGGTCTCTCCTGTCTCTGTGATCTCGGTGTGAAGAGGTGCCGTGGCCTCTGTCTCTGTGATCTCGGTGTGAAGAGGTGCTGTGGTCTCTCATGTCTCTGTGATCTCGGTGTGAAGAGGTGCTGTGGTCTCTCATGTCTCTGTGGTCTCGATGTGAAGAGGTGTTGTGGTCTCCCATGTCTCTGTGGTCTTGGTGTGAAGAGGTGCTGTGGTCTCTCCTGTCTCTGTGATCTCGGTGTGAAAAGGTGCTGTGGCCTCCGCTTTATCCGTTGCCGGGTGGTGGGGGCAGCAGTTTGAGCAGAAACACAGACTTCCCTCTCCACAGACACCTCCTGCAGCTCATCTGGGGGAATCCTGAGGCGTTCCCAGAGACAGTTCCTCTGAGTCCTGGTCTCCCCCTGGTCTCCTCCTGGTCTCCCCCTGGTCTCCCCCTGGTCTCCTCCTGGTCTCCCCCTGGTCTCCCCCTGGTCTCCCCCTGGTCTCCTCCTGGTCTCCCCCTGGTCTCCCCCTGGTCTCCCCCTGGTCTCCTCCTGGTCCTCCTCCTGGTCTCCTCCTGGTCTCCCCCTGGTCTCCCCCTGGTCTCCCCCTGGTCTCCTCCTGGTCTCCTCCTGGTCTCCTCCTGGTCTCCTCCTGGTCTCCCCCTGGTCTCCTCCTGATCTCCTCCTGTCTCCTCCTGGTCTCCTCCTGGTCTCCTCCTGGTCTCCTCCTGGTCTCCTCCTGGTCTCCTCCTGGTCTCCTCCTGGTCTCCTCCTGGTCTCCTCCTGGTCTCCTCCTGGTCTCCTCCTGGTCTCCTCCTGGTCTCCTCCTGGTCTCCTCCTGGTCATCTCCTGGTCTCCTCCTGGTCTCCTCCTGGTCTCCCCCTGGTCTCCCCCTGGTCTCCCCCTGGTCTCCTCCTGGTCTCCTCCTGGTCCTCCTCCTGGTCTCCTCCTGGTCTCCTCCTGGTCTCCTCCTGGTCTCCCCCTGGTCTCCTCCTGGTCCTCCTCCTGGTCTCCTCCTGGTCTCCTCCTGGTCTCCTCCTGGTCCTCCTCCTGGTCCTCCTCCTGGTCTCCCCCTGGTCTCCTCCTGGTCTCCTCCTGGTCTCCTCCTGGTCTCCCCCTGGTCTCCTCCTGATCTCCTCCTGTCTCCTCCTGGTCTCCTCCTGGTCCTCCTCCTGGTCTCCTCCTGGTCTCCTCCTGGTCCTCCTCCTGGTCTCCTCCTGGTCTCCTCCTGGTCTCCTCCTGGTCTCCTCCTGGTCTCCTCCTGGTCTCTCTCCTGGTCTCCTCCTGGTCTCCTCCTGGTCTCCTCCTGGTCTCCTCCTGGTCTGTTAAGAATGTACATGTTTAATGTATTCTCTGATTAACATTTAAACGTGTTATTGAAACAAACTCCTCAGAAAGACCCTGTTCCAACCGGGATTCGAACCCAAGACCTTCTTGCTGAGAGGCGAGAGTGCTAACCACTGAGCCACCGTGCCAAACTACAAGAACAGTGTGCGTTGCCAAAGGGCAGCAGTCATTGTTTTTTTGAGTCTGTTATCACAAAATAATGACTTTAAAACGTTTTTAAATGACATTTAAATCAATGGAGCGTTCTCCTGCTCTGAGGAGCCTGGAATCATGAAATACACATTTAAAGACCCAAAATGGTGAGTGCGACAGAAACTGAGCTGGAGGAGTTTACTGTGACACAGAACAACAGGAGCACAGTCAGAACAGTTTCCTCCAGGTGCTCCGGTTTCCTCTACCACAACAACATTTAGGCATTTATGGCAAAATCCTCCAGCTCTGGGGCCCTGTTACCACGGCAACCACTGACAAACGCAGCAGACACATCGACCTCAATTATGCAGATTTTGTCTCCGTGAATTTACATTTTTTTACTCCTCCAACTTGAGCCAAAGTACGGTCCTGGCTCAGCACTTCCTGTTCCTTATAAGGGCCTGGACACTTCCTGGACACTTCCTGGACACTTCCTGATCTGGACAAACAGACAAACTGCGTCCGTCACCGGGGGTTGGGCGGAGCTTCCTGCAGGACCGTTGGATGGTCAGGACGTGGGGCAGATAAACCATGAAACCAGTGAGCCCGGACCATGGGGTGAAACTGGATCCAAAGCAGATCGAGTCCAGCCGCCCCCACTTCCCCTGACCTTCCACCTTGTACCTTTGCTCCCTTATTGTCATCTCCATCCACGGTTAAAACACGCCCCGCCCCCTTCTGTCTCAATGCTCGGGCTGGTTGTGGATTTGTGAGGTCTACACCCTCTGGCCTCCTGCAGAGAGTCATGAACCGATACAATAAGGTCTGATCCAAACTGAGGCTGGACCTTCTGACCACTGGACTAGAACCAGGAAGTACCATCGCATTAGTCCTGACTAGAACCAGGAAGTACCATCGCATTAGTCCTGACTAGAACCAGGAAGTACCATCGCATTAGTCCTGACTAGAACCAGGAAGTACCATCGCATTAGTCCTGACTAGAACCAGGAAGTACCATCGCATTAGTCCTGACTAGAACCAGGAAGTACCATCGCATTAGTCCTGACTAGAACCAGGAAGTACCGTCACATTAGTCCTGACTAGAACCAGGAAGTACCATCACATTGGTCCTGACTAGAACCAGGAAGTACCGTCACATTAGTCCTGACTAGAACCAGGAAGTACCGTCACATTAGTCCTGACTAGAACCAGGAAGTACCATCGCATTAGTCCTGGTCTCAGGTTTCTGATTATCACAGGTCTCTCAATCTGTGTCATGTTAGTGCCACATGAACCAACTCTGAGGAGCACAGGGACCGGCCTCCTGCTGGGACTCTGAGGAGCACAGGGACTGGCCTCCTGCTGGGACTCTGAGGAGCACAGGGACTGGTCTCCTGCTGGGACTCTGAGGAGCACAGGGACTGGCCTCCTGCTGGGACTCTGAGGAGCACAGGGACCGGCCTCCTGCTGGGACTCTGAGGAGCACAGGGACCGGCCTCCTGCTGGGACTCTGAGGAGCACAGGGACCGGCCTCCTGCTGGGACTCTGAGGAGCACAGGGACCGGCCTCCTGCTGGGACTCTGAGGAGCACAGGGACCGGCCTCCTGCTGGGACTCTGAGGAGCACAGGGACCGGCCTCCTGCTGGGACTCTGAGGAGCACAGGGACCGGCCTCCTGCTGGGACTCTGAGGAGCACAGGGACCGGCCTCCTGCTGGGACTCTGAGGAGCACAGGGACCGGCCTCCTGCTGGGACTCTGAGGAGCACAGGGACCGGCCTCCTGCTGGGACTCTGAGGAGCACAGGGACCGGCCTCCTGCTGGGACTCTGAGGAGCACAGGGACTGGCCTCCTGCTGGGACTCTGAGGAGCACAGGGACTGGCCTCCTGCTGGGACTCTGAGGAGCACAGGGACTGGCCTCCTGCTGGGACTCTGAGGAGCACAGGGACTGGCCTCCTGCTGGGACTCTGAGGAGCACAGGGACTGGCCTCCTGCTGGGACTCTGAGGAGCACAGGGACTGGCCTCCTGCTGGGACTCTGAGGAGCACAGGGACTGGCCTCCTGCTGGGACTCTGAGGAGCACAGGGACTGGCCTCCTGCTGGGACTCTGAGGAGCACAGGGACTTGAATCTGATACTTGAATCTTACAGTTAAAATCTGAAGCAGTCTTCCTGAAAATGTGAGACAGGCTTCTTCTCCGACAAAGATCACATCCAGGTTAAAAACAACTGAAGGATTTTATCTTCACTCTTATTCTCATAAGTAACATTTCTTTCATTAATGCCTTGTGTTTTTTTTCCGGTGTGATTGTAATGCTATCTTGGACCGGGTCTGGGTCCAGGTCCAGGTCCAGGGCTGGGTCTCAAGTCCAGGGCTGGGTCTGGGTCCAGGTCCTGGGCTGGGTCTGGGTCCAGGTCCAGGGCTGGGTCTGGGTCCAGGTCCACGGCTGGGTCTGAGTCTGGGTCCAGGTCCAGGTCCAGGGCTGGGTCTGGGTTCTGGTTCAGGGCTAGGTCTGGGTTCAGGGCTGGGTCTGGGTCTGGGTCCAGGTCCAGGTCCAGGTCCAGGGCTGGGTCTGGGTCCAGGTCCAGGTCCGGGTCTGGGTCTGGGTCCAGGTCCAGGTCCGGGGCTGGGTCTGGGTCCAGGTCCAGGGCTGGGTCTGGGTTCTGGTTCAGGGCTAGGTCTGGGTTCAGGTCCAGGTCTGGGTCTGGGTCCAGGTCCAGGTCCAGGTCCAGGGCTGGGTCTGGGTCCAGGGGTCCAGGTCCAGGTCCAGGTCCAGGTCCAGGTCCAGGTCTGGGTCTGGGTCCAGGTCCAGGTCCAGGGCTGGGTCTGGGTCCAGGGCTGGGTCCAGGTCCAGGTCCAGGGCTGGGTCTGGGTCCAGGTCCAGGTCCAGGTCCGGGTCTGGGTCTGGGTCCGGGTCCAGGTCCAGGTCCAGGTCCAGGGCTGGGTCTGGGTCCAGGTCCAGGTCCAGGTCCAGGTCTGGGTCCAGGTCCAGGTCCGGGGCTGGGTCTGGGTCTGGGTCCAGGTCCAGGTCCAGGGCTGGGTCTGGGTCCGGGTCCAGGTCCAGGTCCAGGTCCAGGTCCAGGTCCAGGTCCAGGTCCACGGCTGGGTCTGAGTCTGGGTCCAGGTCCAGGTCCAGGGCTGGGTCTGGGTTCTGGTTCAGGGCTAGGTCTGGGTTCAGGGCTGGGTCTGGGTCTGGGTCCAGGGCTGGGTCCAGGTCCAGGTCCAGGTCTGGGTCCGGGTCCAGGTCCAGGTCCAGGTCCAGGTCCAGGTCCAGGTCCAGGGCTGGGTCTGGGTTCAGGTCCAGGTCCGGGGCTGGGTCTGGGTCCAGGTCCAGGTCTGGGTCTGGGTCCAGGTCCAGGGCTGGGTCTGGGTCCAGGGCTGGGTCCAGGTCCAGGTCCAGGGCTGGGTCTGGGTCCAGGTCCAGGTCCAGGTCCAGGTCCAGGTCCAGGTCCAGGGCTGGGTCTGGGTTCAGGTCCAGGTCCGGGGCTGGGTCTGGGTTCAGGTCCAGGTCCGGGGCTGGGTCTGGGTCCAGGTCCAGGTCCGGGGCTGGGTCTGGGTTCAGGTCCAGGTCCGGGGCTGGGTCTGGGTCCAGGTCCAGGTCCAGGTCCAGGTCCGGGTCCGGGTCCGGGTCCGGGTCCGGGGTGTTGCTGGAGTTGGGCCCATGCTTGCATCATCGCTGCAGGAACAGGGCGGTGGAGTGACCGAGGAGAATAACATTTCAGAGATTCTCACTTTGAATCAAAAACAGAAGATTCTTGTTTCCTTTTATCTGAAAATGTTTGTGGAAAAACAGTTCTAAGCCACAATTACAGATATGTTTAAACTCAGAGGATTTATTTTAAGGGCTGAGAATCTGAGGTAAAAGATTATAACGATACATGAAATATATCTAACTTTCTAAACTGATGTGTTCAACATTGTGGAAAAGCAGATCCAGGTCCAGCAGGAGTCTGGGGTCTCTCCCTGGGTCTGGTTCAGTCTGGGGTCTCTCCCTGGGTCTGGTTCAGTCTGGGGTCTCTTCCTGGGTCTGGTTCAGTCTGGGGTCTCTCCCTGGGTCTGGTTCAGTCTGGGGTCTCTCCCTGGGTCTGGTTCAGTCTGGGGTCTCTCCCTGGGTCTGGTTCAGTCTGGGGTCTCTCCCTGGGTCTGGTTCAGTCTGGGGTCTCTCCCTGGGTCTGGTTCAGTCTGGGGTCTCTTCCTGGGTCTGGTTCAGTCTGGGGTCTCTTCCTGGGTCTGGTTCAGTCTGGGGTCTCTTCCTGGGTCTGGTTCAGTCCGGTCTCTCCCTGGGTCTGGTTCAGTCTGGGGTCTCTTCCTGGGTCTGGTTCAGTCTGGGGTCTCTTCCTGGGTCTGGTTCAGTCTGGGGTCTCTCCCTGGGTCTGGTTCAGTCCGGTCTCTCCCTGGGTCTGGTTCAGTCCGGTCTCTCCCTGGGTCTGGTTCAGTCTGGGGTCTCTCCCTGGGTCTGGTTCAGTCTGGGGTCTCTCCCTGGGTCTGGTTCAGTCTGGGGTCTCTCCCTGGGTCTGGTTCAGTCTGGGGTCTCTCCCTGGGTCTGGTTCAGTCCGGTCTCTCCCTGGGTCTGGTTCAGTCCGGTCTCTCCCTGGGTCTGGTTCAGTCCGGTCTCTCCCTGGGTCTGGTTCAGTCCGGTCTCTCCCTGGGTCTGGTTCAGTCCGGTCTCTCCCTGGGTCTGGTTCAGTCCGGTCTCTCCCTGGGTCTGGTTCAGTCCGGTCTCTCCCTGGGTCTGGTTCAGTCCGGTCTCTCCCACAAAGTCCTGCAGCTCCAGTCCAAGAGGATCAGTGTCTGTAGATGGGTCTCAACACAGAGAACCTGACAGAGAACCTGACAGAGAACCTGACAGAGAACCTGACAGAGAACCTGACAGAGAACCTGACAGAGAACCTGACAGAGAACCTGACAGAGAACCTGACAGAGAACCTGACAGAGAACATGACAGAGAACCTACAGAGAACCTGACAGAGAACCTGACAGAGAACCTGACAGAGAACCTGACAGAGAACCTGACAGAGAACCTGACAGAGAACCTGACAGAGAACCTGACAGAGAACCTGACAGAGAACCTGACAGAGAACATGACAGAGAACCTGACAGAGAACCTGACAGAGAACCTGACAGAGAACCTGACAGAGAACCTACAGAGAACCTGACAGAGAACCTGACAGAGAACCTGACAGAGAACCTGACAGAGAACCTGACAGAGAACCTGACAGAGAACCTGACAGAGAACCTGACAGAGAACCTGACAGAGAACCTGACAGAGAACCTGACATTATTAAACAGGAAGTGAATACATACTTCCTGGTGTGAGACGTCAGAGCCTCGTGGTCCTGGAGGTTGTGATGTCACATGATGTGAGGTTCATGAAGGACCTACTGCAGGAACAACACAGGTACATATAGACACAGGTACACACAGACACAGGTACACACAGACACAGGTACATATAGACACAGGTACACACAGACACAGGTACACACAGACACAGGTACACACAGACACAGGTACATATAGACACAGGTACACACAGACACAGGTACATATAGACACAGGTACACACAGACACAGGTACATATAGACACAGGTACACACAGACACAGGTACATATAGACACAGGTACACACAGACACAGGTACATATAGACACAGGTACACACAGACACAGGTACACATAGACACAGGTACACACAGACACAGGTACATATAGACACTGGCCTCGCACCAAAATATATTAGTGACATGTTAGTCCCATATGAACCAGCCCGGACTCTGAGGAGCACAGGGACTGGACTCCTGTTAGTGCCCAGAGTCAGAACTAAACATGGGGAGGCTGCTTTTCAGATTAATGCTGCTAAAATCTGGAACAGTCTTCCTGAAGATGTGAGACAGGCCTCCTCTCTGACAATGTTTAAAACCAGGTTAAAGACGGTTCTGCTTAACTGTGCATACAACTGAGGGATTTTATATTTTTATCTTTCTTTTTAATGTTCTGTGATAATTTATGATTTTAATGCTTTCTTGTTTTGTTCAGCACTTTGAATTGCCTTGTGTATGAATTGTGCTATATAAATAAACTTGCCTTGCCTTGCCTTGCCTTGCCTTGCCTTGCCCTTGCCAGGTGAATGCTGAAACATTTGAAAATCATGAAAAATGTAATTATGTGAAACTAATACATAAAAAGAAGGCAAAACATTTTTTTCTTCTTTTTTAAAGTCAGATGGAGGAGAATCGACAATGGAAAGAGGAGATCTCGAAAAAGGAATTTACCTTTGCAACATAATTACAGAAAGATACAAAGACTGCATTTGTGGTTTTTACAAGCAAAATAATGCAATTTAGAATAAAGGCATAAATAATTGGCACTAGTCACTTTACCATAAGTCCATAATATATATTACTTCACATTTTAAGTTGTGAAAAGAATGTACTTTGACACACTATTAAAATTACTCAGGATTCATCATTCACTACAATATAATGTAAAACATGTAAACAAATGACATACCTCTGACAGTCCAACTGTAGATGAAGCAATGGCTCCAATTGAAGTTGAACCCGAGGGGGCTGGTTCTTAGGAAGGAAAAACAGTAAACAGATAAAAGTTGAGGTTACAATAAGAAATAAAAAATATTACCAATAGTTGAACATTACAAACCTGATATTCCGAAGTGTATGATTTAAATGAAATTCTGTATTTGTCAAGGTTCTGGACAAGTACATTGACATCCGCATCAATAAATTCCTTAAAATCTTCACTGTATATTTGAACAGAATGAAAGTCGGCTTTGTCTGTTAAAAAGCTTGTGCTTTTATCAATCAGTTCTTTAATTGTGTTGAGATGGTAAACTCTTTTGGCAATCTCTTTGTCATCCAGCACAATAGTCACAAGAGATCTGGGATTCTCCTCCATCTGACAGGGAAAAAAAGAACAAAAAAAAAAAAATATTATATATTCTTACCTGTCAAACTGCACACACCGCCAAATTAAGCATCTTTAAACAAATGCTAAATTATAATGTATGTATTATAGCTATTTAAATTACAGATCATGAAATTCATAAACACGGGTTATCTAAAATATTTTAAAAAGGCTCGTTAAAATTTACAAGACTAGTGGAAAATGTAAGCAATAATCAACTACGCGAGCAAGAATTAATTACCATAAGTATATCTTGTATGCAATAAAACGGCTCAGTTTACTCGTGCTTCCGCAGCAGCCCTCAAACTCAACGCTAGCCTCCTGCTTCCATGACAGGGTGAACACCGGACTCACCTCAAATATCACATATAAAGCCAGCATTGGCCATTTCACATTTACAGTCCTCTTATGAGCATTTCTAAACTGTGTGCCCGCACCATGAATCTATTGGATGCTTTGGGTTAGCACTACCACATCCGAGTGGCTAACCTGGAAAAACAGAGCTACGAAAGCGGGGGTCAATTTCGCGCAATTATTGATAAATGATCTGTCAGATCAGTTATCCCCACATATCTTGATCGATTACATCGTTAAGTGTTAACCACAGCTACTCACTTCGTCTGGTTAGGGTTAACTAACAAGTTAGACGAGAGCGATGTCAAGGCTAGCGTGGCTAGTAGCCCAATGAGCGCCAGATAGCCGACGCATTGCGCCACTTTAATGCCAGTTTCAGCCCACAAGGAACAAAGAATAGTCACGCTGGCATCTTGTATGATCCATTTAAACAAGCCCACCAATTAATATCAAATGTAGTAACGTTACGTTTAGCACAGACCGTTAACAAGCTCGCTCCTTAGCCACAATAGAAAGCTAACATAAAAACGAACAAGTGACTCCCACAAACCTCTTTTATCGTGTTAATCACTGCACGGCTCATATAGCAAAGCAGACAACACTGTAATGAGAATTAATACTTATTTATATTATAATAGTTACCTTATTTTGTTGACGCGGGCAGCCCAGATCCATGGGGCAGCCTCGCTCCGGTCCGGTTTTCAAAAGACAGATGAGTGTCTGCCGCTGCTCTGAACCTGATTGGCTGTTAGGTCAACACAGTGATGTGTAGCTCTTGTGACGGTCTAAGTCGCTGGAAGAGCTAAAGCGGACTTTGTGGCGATAAGATGTACTATTTTTCACGCAGCTGCGTGATTCCCGAGAAGCGTGAATGAAGACGACAAAACGGAATGGGACCTACTGTAGTGAACAAAAAATGGCTACAATCAGTAGTTGTCCTCTCATACACAGTAAGACATATCTCAGTGAGCCTTTGCCACGTGTTGGGCTCAATTCGCAGCTGCTGAAGCATTGGGTTCAATGTTGAGAAAAACTGCCAAAGTATTTGAAATTCACTAAGAAATAATACCCCACAACAATGAGTCAGCCAGTGTGATGACAATTGCTAAAATAACTTTTTTACACCATCAAATTCAGAAATGAACATTATTTTGAAAGGTGAACCTCTCCTAATGAACATTGTTCTTACCTTGGAGCAAGCTGCTCTTGATAGTAGATGTGCTTTGCAATAAATACTAAGTCCTTCAGATAATGTTATTTGACATACATCTAAGCCTACTAAGAGACTTTTAAAAATTGACATGACTAACTGTATTTCAAGTAGTCAAGGCAAACAATCGGCCGAACAGGGACTTGAACCCTGGACCTTCAGATTAAAAGTCTGATATTTCCAAAGCCTGCAAAACTGTAATCAAGTTTACCAGTTTGACATCATATAGAAGGACCTTGAGTTGCGTTTGCTTGAATGAAAACGGGTTGTTTTTTGGCCCTTTTTGAACATTCACTTACCACAGTTCCAAATATTGAATATATTTATAACGTTTCCCTTCACCCTTTAGCCAAAGTCCAAGTGCGTATTTTCTTTTCTTCAGTTGCTTGGAAGAATGTCAAACCATTTCAATATTGCTCCCCTTTTCCAAAAGGCTTGCCAGGAGTGGGATTTGAACCTAAACCTCCATTGGAGACGAGAAAACCCAGGTTAAGAGTTGAGGAAGTCATGGAGAACAACTCTCCAACGTGCCAGGCGCCATCCAATGTGAGCGTTTTCCCACTCAAGTCTGGTACGGCAACGAGCTGGAGTCAGGTCAAGACCCCGGTGAGGACGAACGACGATCATGCAGTTGAGCTTCCCTGAGACTGTTTCTGACAGTTGATGCAGAAATTGTTTGGTGGCTGGTCTCAGACAATCTTGGAGGTAAAGGTCCGGGGCTGGTGTGGTTACACGTGGTCTGCGGTTGTGAGGCCGGTCCACAATTGAAGGTTGGATCCAGTCCTGAACTCTTAGTCCCTGTAAACACAAACAGAAAGCTATTGGCAATTTCATGTCACCCCAGATGGAACTCTGACCTTTTTAAAAAGCAACATTTATTCTTTGACCGAAAGAATTCTTTTTCTTTTAGCAGAGGATGGTTTCGATCCATCGACCTCTGGGTTATGGGCCCAGCACGCTTCCGCTGCGCCACTCTGCTGTCTTGGGTGGCTTGCAAGCGCTCAGTCCGACTTGGATTAGTCAAAATGAAGAAAGGTTTCTCACCCATCTACTTAGCAGGTTTTCCCATGGGATGTCCAACCACACCTACAGGTTATGAATCTCCAACTTCGGCCTTTCATTTCCTTGAGAAAGTTATTTGGATTAAAGATGAAACGTTGGGAAAACCTGCTAAGAATTACAGATGAAGGGAAAGAAACCTTTCTTCGTTCTGCTGTCTTGAGTTGCATCTTTAGATCAAGTCCCATTGTAGAAAATGACGATTTCCTCCTAGGACTGCACTCATCCCTCACCCCAGATGGGACTCGAACCCACAATCCCTGCCTTAGGAGCGCAGTGCCTTATCCATTAGGCCACTGGGGCACTGTCTTCTGGGCGTTCAGCTCCAGGTTGTTACCACTGCACCAGGACACCAGCCGGTCCACCTTCCTCCTGTAGGCGGACTCATCGTTGTTGGAGATGAGTCCAATGAGGGTGGTGTCATCCGCAAAATTGAGCAGCTTCACGGAGTCGTGGCTGGAGGTGCAGTGGTTGGTGTACAGGGAGAAGAGCAGGGGAGAAAGAACGCTAATATGAACAATCCCTCAGATTAAAAGTCTGATGCTCTGCCGACTGAGCTATCCAGGCTCTGTCAGCTTGCTTTCATGTGGAAAAAATGTGGGTACCCTTCCATTGAAAGCAAGGTATATTTCCAAAGCCTGCAAAACTGTAATCAAGTTGTTGAACAGGTTAAGAAAGTTGGACTATTGACTGGAACGCTTGGGTTCCAGGGCTATTTTTCGCATAATCCCAGCAAGCCTGTATTGCTTGAATATTGGGCAAAACACATCACTTTCAAAGATTCCCACCCAACGTGGGGTTTGAACCCACGACCCTGAGCCAGTTTAGAATCCTATAACTGACACAATTAAGACTGCCAGTTACATGATTCTGTTTATTTGTGTTCAAGGTTTAAAGGTACTGCTGGGATTTGAACCCAGGATTTCCTGTTTACTAGACAGGCGCTTTGACCAACTAAGCCACAGCACCACTCAAGTATCTTCTCAACCATCAGTTTGACCTGATAAAGGCCCTTGAGTTGCAATAGATTTTTTTGTAAAATCTCGGCACTGCCGGTATGTGCACCCAAATTCTGTTTATATCTCAATGGTTTGATCAGACTCAGGACTAGTCAATTTTCAGGTCCCTTGGATTTTTTTAGAAAACAGTAGACCATGTGGCCTAATGGATAAGGCGTCTGACTTCGGATCAGAAGACTGAGGGTTCAAATCCCTTCATGGTTATTCAGAATCCTTCTTGTACTGTTTGTCTGTGATCAATCTAAGAAGGCACTGGTGGGATACAAATCCATCATCTATTTCCAAGACAGGCACTTTGACCAACTAAGCCACAGCCACACTCAAGTACTCGTTTGACCTCATAGAGAAAGACCATGAGTTGCAATAGCGTGAAGAGTGTCAGTTATGTGGTCCTTTTACAACATATACTTACCACAGTTCCAAACAGGGTAACAAGAGCTTGACTATTGACTGGAACTCTTGGGTTCCCTTAACAGGGATATTTTAGCAAAATCTCAGAAGGTTCAAACATGTTTGTCATTAGTTATAGAAGTATGAACGTGCCTCCCCCCCTGGCTGCCGAAACCCAGGATCGAACCAGGGACCTTTAGATCTTCAGTCTAATGCTCTCCCAACTGAGCTATTTCGGCACATGCTCGTTGTCCGTAGTGAGAATTTGGCTTGACACTGAATACCCCACGGATAAAATCATATAGTGCATTAAGATAGGGCAAATAAGCATCAAATGCAAAGATTATCGCACAATGTGGGGAGTTCAGAATCATATCACTGGCACAACTAAGACTGCCAATTTTATGATTCTATTTATCTGTGTTGAAGGTTTAAAGGGACTGTTGGGATTTGAACCCGGGACTTCCTATTTACTAGACAGGCGGTTTGACCACATAGTTGAGAAAATCACACACAGAACTATGTAATTACAGCAAAGACACGATCACGTGGAACAACTGGGCTCGTCCGGGATTGGAACCCGGGACCTCTCGCACCCGAAGCGAGAATCATACCCCTAGACCAACGAGCCACATGAATCATGCAGAAGAGGTCGCCAAATTGCTGGTACATCCAGTGATCTTTAGTGAACAAAAAATGGCTACAATCAGTAGTTGTCCTTTCATACACAGTAAGACTTATCTCAGTGAGCCTTTGCCACGTGTTGGGCTCAATTCGCAGCTGCTGAAGCATTGGGTTCAATGTTGAGAAAAACTGCCAAAGTATTTGAAATTCACTAAGAAATAATACCCCACAACAATGAGTCAGCCAGTGTGATGACAATTGCTAAAATAACTTTTTTACACCATCAAATTCAGAAATGAACATTATTTTGAAAGGTGAACCTCTCCTTATGAACATTGTTCTTACCTTGGAGCAAGCTGCTCTTGATAGTAGATGTGCTTTGCAATAAATACTAAGTCCTTCAGATAATGTTATTTGACATACATCTAAGCCTACTAAGAGACTTTTAAAAATTGACATGACTAACTGTATTTCAAGTAGTCAAGGCAAACAATCGGCCGAACAGGGACTTGAACCCTGGACCTTCAGATTAAAAGTCTGATATTTCCAAAGCCTGCAAAACTGTAATCAAGTTTACCAGTTTGACATCATATAGAAGGACCTTGAGTTGCGTTTGCTTGAATGAAAACGGGAAGTTTTTTGGCCCTTTTTGAACATTCACTTACCACAGTTCCAAATATTGAATATATTTATAACGTTTCCCTTCACCCTTTAGCCAAAGTCCAAGTGCGTATTTTCTTTTCTTCAGTTGCTTGGAAGAATGTCAAACCATTTCAATATTGCTCCCCTTTTCCAAAAGGCTTGCCAGGAGTGGGATTTGAACCTAAACCTCCATTGGAGACGAGAAAACCCAGGTTAAGAGTTGAGGAAGTCATGGAGAACAACTCTCCAACGTGCCAGGCGCCATCCAATGTGAGCGTTTTCCCACTCAAGTCTGGTACGGCAACGAGCTGGAGTCAGGTCAAGACCCCGGTGAGGACGAACGACGATCATGCAGTTGAGCTTCCCTGAGACTGTTTCTGACAGTTGATGCAGAAATTGTTTGGTGGCTGGTCTCAGACAATCTTGGAGGTAAAGGTCCGGGGCTGGTGTGGTTACACGTGGTCTGCGGTTGTGAGGCCGGTCCACAATTGAAGGTTGGATCCAGTCCTGAACTCTTAGTCCCTGTAAACACAAACAGAAAGCTATTGGCAATTTCATGTCACCCCAGATGGAACTCTGACCTTTTTAAAAAGCAACATTTATTCTTTGACCGAAAGAATTCTTTTTCTTTTAGCAGAGGATGGTTTCGATCCATCGACCTCTGGGTTATGGGCCCAGCACGCTTCCGCTGCGCCACTCTGCTGTCTTGGGTGGCTTGCAAGCGCTCAGTC